CTTTTGGATCACAACTGAAAGTTTGGTTCAGATTTATGGAACAGCTTGTTTTGGAAGTGCCTCTGGAAGTTCAGCCTTTAAAAAGTCAGTCCCAGTTGGGCACAAATGTGAATCACTCAGAATTCATGGGTACTTTCAAAAATAGTAAATCTCTCCTTCAAACCCTCAGGTTTCTGACTGGAAAGAAGACAACAGGAATATAAACATTATTTCAAGTTGTGGGGGAAAAAGGAGTTCTATAATAATTAACTGATGCTTTACTGGTAATGTATGTTATTCCATCCAAGCACCTTTTTTCACTTCATATATCATGCACTTCTATATTCAGTTTGCCTATGTTGTGCTCTAATTAGGAAGAGCACCCGAGCTGGGTGTTAGTTAATCAAGCTCTCTTTCCATTTCTTGTGTCACAGTATATGTCTTGTTAGTTTTGTATGATAATACTCTCTTTCACAGTCTTTCTGTGTCAGAATTACATTTTTGGACTAATTTTCTAGATTTAAGACTGAATGGAATATCTTGACATCTGTCTTCTCCATACTTTGAAGCCCAGCTGCACTTCTTTTATAGCTTCAGTCTCAGGGGCTTCTGAGAGACGTTGCAGTTGAACGTTTTCTTAGTATTCTTACAGCAGGCTCTGGTATGCTGTGAATGTGATTCTGGCCCATTTGCTAACAGGACGTTTGATAACTACTCCAGCGTGTCTTTGCTTCTTCATTTCTACTTACTCTGATTGTAAGCACCTCCGAAGGCTTCTGATATCGCTTTCTTTGTCTTGGTCTTTTTATGTCCTTGAAGGACGCCTTCTCTTACTGTATCTTACTCTGCTGAGATCAGTTGTTGATCGATGGGTATCGGTCAGTACGAATTCTCAGCCTGTCTTCATCCTTATCGCTGCCTGCTTTGGTGTGGCATTTAGGGAGCAGCCTGCTGCCTTTTTCCTTTGTTCTGTCTAGCACTTGTCTCTCTTGGGCATAGTTCCTTACCACAGTCGTCAATCATGACTGTTGCTGCCTCCTATTTTTCTGCTTTCTTGTTTCAGTGTTGGTCATTTACTCTTTGTGCCCCATTGCAAGTCAGTCCTTTATCCAGTGACAGGATATTACAAGAATCTTCTGGACCTCTTCACATGCGTTTTGCTTTAACTCCTACTATTTCTAAGCTGTCATGCCTCCTGCACTTTCTCCATTTTCTCCTAAATTGTGCTTTCTTTTTGTGAGAGATTTCTGGTGGACCCTTGCTTCACCTTCTTCATTTAATTATAGCTGTTGTCCACAGACCTTCCCCTTCTTTTCTGAAAATGAATTTAGCATCCTTCTCTAACCTCTTCACTTCGGTTCATTTTTTTTTCAGATAATTTTCTACTTTTTTTATTAACCCTGTTTCTTCAGCAGGCCTGTTTTAAATTCCAGGTGATTTTTAGCTTAGTTGTGCAAGTGAGGGATTAGCTTTGCCCACACATCCTGGTTCCCTAACCTGGTCCATCTCTGATCCTGGCACACTCAGAAGCTTCCCGACATCCCAGATTCACAAAACCTCCTCTCACTTTTATTGGTTTCAACATTAAAAGCTGATTCTTTACACCTAAACTGATGCTATTCCAGAATTTCTTCATGCGGCATGTTGTCTGGTTAGGGAAATAGAATAGCCATGGAGATTTTATGTGGGAAAATGTGAAAATGGCATATGTACCACATTGGAATAATACTGATTCTTCTGTTGTCTAATTTTAACAGATTCAGTAGCGACAGCGTCTGGGCCACTGCTAGTTGAAGTTGCCAAAACTCCCGGTGCTGCTCTTGGGGTTGCACTAACTACCTCGATGTGCTGCAACAAACAGGTCATTGTCATAGACAAAATCAAATCTGCGAGTATTGCAGACAGGTGAGTGTGACAGAGGGCTGACACTGCAGGTCCATACATCCATTTTATTTCTACTTCCGTTTGGCTTGGTTTTAAAGAAACCCTTCCATTTTTGATGAATTTGACTGAACCAGGTGCTCTCAAGGTTGCTAGGTCTTAAAATTAGCACTTTGTCAGATCGTTGTTCCATACTGTGGCGTTTTAAGACTTCCAGGGCACCATTTACTTTAGCTCAACCACATAGTATTCAATGACATAAGCCAGCCCCCATGTAGTATGTGACTGTCTGCTTGCCCTATGCAACACAGAAGTTTAGAGGTCTGCTCTGACTATTAAATGTTATGCTGCAGCAGAGATTTGTATTTTAAAAAAATAAATAACCCACTGGAATTCTTAAAGTAAGCATACAATATGGAACAGCTGTCAAGGGAAGTAAATTTCAAGGCTTTGCAACCTTGAAGTGTTCTTTTAGAATATATCGCTCATTCTTGTGGCACAGTGAAATGGAACTCCTTATGTCTAGATATTTTTTATTGACATTTTAGAATACAACTGAGGTATTAGGAAGACTGGCTTCTGTATTTTGGAGTTATTTTGCAGTATTTTTTCCACTTCATTTAAACCTTTAAATAAACCATTTAATATAGGTGTCTTTCCCCAATGCTCTAAGCCTTTGTTAACAGAGCTGTGGGATCTTTTCTGGGGTGCGTGTGTGTGTGTGTGTGTGTATGTGTTTATACATATACAATATATTTCTATATACATATCTCTACCTAAAAAATCCTTAAATATTACGTTTCAGCAGCAAATTTCTCCTGCATGTCCCCAGTCACCCTACCGTGTAACTCCTCTCTGACAACGGTGCTTTTGGTAGCATTTTTTTTCTTTGAGAGTGACGGCCATTGATCCAGGGGTGTTCTCCAGTTCAATGGTGCAGGATGCTTTAATTTTCTCCCTCTGTTTTTTCCCATTTCGCAGGGGGTAACCAATTAAAGGAGCTGTCCACTTGACTGGTACGTCGGGATGCTGACTGCTGTGTTTGCATTTCTCAACTCATCCAGTAGCCAGTCTCTTGAGTGCAGCGAGATTTAGCAGATAGCTCCCCCCGCCCACCCCACTCCTCAAGTCACCATGCTAGCCCTGGTTTCATTATTTGTTTGACTACTGCATAATTTCATCATCATTGACAGCTTTTGTACTAATAAATGTTTGAACTATAACTCAAAAAATGATGAACTGGGTGCTTGTGTGAGGGATATGTAACCAAGTTATTTGAGTCTCCTTAAGCTCTTCTCATTTTATTCTGCTGCCATTCACACATATTTTTATAGTCAGCTACCACATTCCAGTTCTGTGAGTGATGTCTTGGCATATACTGTATTAACGGAATTGTTTTTAAGGTTTATACTAATAGATATAAAGTCTGACCAGTGACAATGCCTACAAAACACAAATCTTTCTCGAAAAAAAAGAACACGCTCATAGTTGTCATGGTTTTGAAGTTTGAAGGCAGTAAAACTCATTTTCCAAGCAAAGAGCATACCTGATCATACCGAGTTTTTCCCCTTTTATGTAGATGTGGTGCATTACACGTAGGAGACCATATTCTGTCCATTGATGGCACCAGCATGGAGTACTGTACCCTGGCAGAAGCAACGCAATTTTTGGCTAATGCAGCGGATAATGTCAAGCTTGAGATCCTTCCTCACCACCAGACACGGCTAGCACTGAAAGGCCCGGAGCATGGTAAGAGGATTTGTAGCACCAAATACCCCTTTCTTTTTCTGTCTTTTACTTTGCCTGCCTTTGCTGAATGGTCAAGAAAGCTGTCGCGGCAGTTATGTCTGTAAATGTTATTTCAGCTCCCCAGGTATGCTTCTGCAGTTTTCGAGCAGCTCTGTGTTTTCTTGCCCTTAATGTACCCTCTGAGATTCCTATGGCTAGAGAGGGAAATGTTTTACTGAGAAATGACTCTGCACGCTTGTAGATGTACATAAAGACACCAGTCATTGGGGGGAGGCAACTAGGTACTTCAGCAAATGAATCTCTAAATTGCTTCTTAAATTTAAAGGGGGTAGGAAGGACCACAGGCAACTTCTTTTCAGCATATTGACTTGATAATCTGTTATGACCAGTTCATTAATAACACCTGTTCTTACCTAAAAGACCTTAAAAAACCCCATATTTTCACTTATTTATGGCATTATTATTTATTGCCATCATCTTCTAAAATACTTCTGAGATTTGCTTCATGGGTTCATTATCAGTGCTTGTGAAAAAGGTTTGTTTGGAAACAGTTCCCTAGGTGATAGCCCTTTTCACCGTGATATTTATTTCATGTCAACATGCTTGAAGAGAATGGTTTTCCATTTTCAAATCAAATATATATAAAATGTCTTAGTATTTGAAGATGGGGGCTGCCTGTCTTGTCTTCTAACTAATCATGAGAAAGTGGCTAATTCACAGTATTCATAAATTCGGTCTAAAATACTGCAAGTTGATGGACATCAAAGAAATAGCAAGGGTTGTCAAATACACAGAGAACAGGTACCTGTGTGGCAGCATGAACCAGTGGTACCATTTTCTGAGTCTGTGGTACTGTGCTTTTGCTTTCTTTAGACCAAGGCAAGATTTCTGAGGCCTAGAAATGTCAGTGGTGGTAAATGTTCTTGGACATCTATCTAAGAGCCAGGCTGTCCCTGGATAAGCGATGCTCTAGTCAGTTTGTCAGAGTGGTGAATATTGAACTCGTTGCTGAGGAGACCCTAGTTTTTCCTAGACTAGGGTGTGAACAAAAAGTAACCCTTGTGATACCATGTTCTTCCATTATTCAACTGCACTTCTTTCCCCTTTCTACTTAAGCCAGTTAGAGGGGCGAGTGATAGTGTAGAAGCAGAATGAGATGGAGACCAAATTTTGCAATATATTTCCATTCTTTTCATTTATGACAGTACATTGCGAACAGATCTTTCAATTTTTTTAAGCAAAGGTGTCACACAATCAATTTCAGGCTGGTTAAAGAACCATTGAAGAGTGTTTCTTTTGGGAAGATGAGTACCAGAGCCAAGGATTTGTGTAGATGGTTGTATTACTTGAAGCAGTTGGTTTCTTAACCAGCCTTTAAAACAAATTGATGCTGTTAATGTGCTAGTCACCTTGACCCAGTGTAGATGCTTAGAAAAAGCAATGCTCTTGCCGTGCCAGAGTTAAGAACTGGCCATTACAAAATCACGTCAAGGGCATCTGCAAAAGCTACATAAATTCATCTTTTGGGGAGAAATCTCCCTAACATCATAAAGTTGCTTTCTTAAGTAAGGCAGAACAACTAGGAAGTTTACAGCCCTTCCCAGCCCCTCACCAGATGGTGTTACTCCAATATCACGACCAATTCAAGATGTAACATGCTTTATGGAAGCAAGTACACTCTTGGAAACAGCCTTTCATCAGGTGTGGTATGGCCTAGATGCTGCAGAATTTGAAAAGCTCCCTCTATGTGTCTGGGATAAGCTAAGTCATTAGGGCTGTATCTGTTGAGCTCAATTATTGGTCTTGGGGGAACATGTTAGGAATTTAAAATGGGCAGGAAAGTCAGTATATAAAATAAATTGAAATTTTAGCCCTAAAATAAAATGGAGAACACTATAAAAGATCAGAGGTTTTTTCATGGTTTTTTTCCTTTATACTGTACTGCTAACATTCATTTCTCTTGCTTGCCCCATTAGTTTTATGTTCGCTGGACACAACCCTGTGTTGGAATAGCTCAAATTACTGCTAAATTACTACAGTTACACACAATAGGATCTTCTTTTGCAGAACTTTTGTTGAATTGGGATTATCCTTCTACAAGCTGAGCAAACTGAATTTGTGTACCTTCCTACTTTGTAGGACATTTTTATCTCTACTCTCAGTGTGAAAATAAAACATTAAAAAAAATCAAAGACTACCAGATAATTTCCTGCTGGAAGCAGTCTTTTTAATTAAACAAGGCTCACAGCAACTTGAAAATAATGAAAATCCACCTGGCCACATTGTTCTTATCAGATTTTAATTTTTCCACCATAGTTAAAGTTCAGAAATCTTGCTGTCTGTATGCATAATCAAAGAGGTGGTTTAATCTAAGAAGATATGATAAGTCTGTAAGATACATATGGCCATACCAGGCTACTGGTATGAGATAGATATTTATATATATTCCTGGAGAAGGCTGCGGGGAGACCTTATTGTGGCCTTTCAGTACTTAAAGGGAGCCTATAGGAAAGAGGGGGCAACCTTTTTTAGCAGGGCTGGTTGTGATAGGACAAGGGGTAATGGTTTTAAACTAAAACAGGGTAGATTTAGACTGGATATAAGGAAGAAATTCTTTACAGTGAGGGTGGTGAAACAGTGGAATGGGTTGCCCAGAGAAGTGATGGAGGCCCCATCCCTGGAAATATTCAAGGCCAGGTTGGACGGGGCTCTGAGCAACCTGATCTAGTTAGCGATGTCCCTGCTCACTGCAGGGGGGCTGGGCTAGATGGCCTCTAAAGGTCCCTTCCAACCCAAAACATTCTGTGATTCTGTGATTCTTCTGCTGCTGTTTCTGGGACTTTTCTGGCTGACATGAGATTTTCCAAAGTGTCCGCTGGCGCTGGTGCCAGTGGGTGAGGTGCCCTGAGGCACAGGCTGATGGTGGTGCTGAGTGCTCCTCCTGGTGCTGGTGTCACATCCCACCTTCACCTTTGTTATCTGTCTAGGGGCAAACAATTTTTAAAAAATTAGTTCTTTTGATTCAAATACATGTCAGGGCACAGCAGAGCCCCTCTCAGGGAGGGGCAGGGGCCTGGGGCACCCCGGCCTGGGGTGCGGGGTCAGGCCTGGCAGTGCCAGGGACGCCAGAGCCCAACTGCCCCACGGGGCCACGGGGACATGGTGGGCCCCTATGCTCTGCTTTTCCTCTCCCTTCCCTGTCATGTACTCCTCCCTGTAGTGACAGGCATTGCTTTTGAGTCAGGGAAGGGTTCATATACTCAGACAATTAGCAGATCGTTAATCACGTAACATGAAGTGAAACAAAAGGATAGCTTTTCTTCTGGCACTGCACAGTGCTTGCTGGTGCCTACCCTTTTCTCCATAAGATGTGAATGCAAGGTGAGGGTCCAACCTAAACAGTCAAGATTTTTGGCTACTGTTAAAGTCTAGCATGGGGGCATATGTATCTGCAGCCACTATAGATACACAGGAAGCAGAGAGACACAGGTAGTGCAGCTCATGGGCCAAAGGCAGTAACAAGTTTCATCGTACAGGTCAATCCCTTGGTGTTATTTTTAAGAGTGAATAGTTCCCAGTTTGAAGTGTTCCTCT